TAGCAGTCGCTATACATTCTGGGGGTCCGCTACCACGTGTCTATGACTACTATCAACTAATTATGCGATGTTATATAAATTCTTTAACTCTATATGTATCTATACGATTCTGTAATCATCTCTGGGGGAGGTAGGACAATAGGGAAGCGGGAGGGGGCGGTGGGGCTGATGAGTATAGGTAGAGGGGTGGCGGTGGGTGAAGAATGTAGAGTTGAGGAGGAAGTGGGCGGGGGTTTACAGAATAGAGGTAGAGTGAGGGGCTGGCGTTAGTACGTGAGTGGAGGGAGGGGCGGCGGGAAGAATAGAGAGTAGAAGGCTGGGCGTGTGTGTAGTAGTGAGTAGAGGGGAGGGACGGGTTGCAAGGAATAGAGGGGTAGGGGGTTAGAAGGGAGGGGTGGGTTTAGAAATATTAGCAGTAAGAGGCGAGGGGGGGTGAGGGCGGGTGTTGGCGAAGAAAATAGAGAGGTATGAGGGAGGAGCGGGCGGCGGGTCGTGAGATAGAGAGTTAGAGGGAGGGAGGCCGGATGCGTTTTGAGAACTAGAGAGTATGGGGAGGGGCGCGGTTTGAGCAATATGGAGTAGGAGGGAGGGAGCGGGTTGAGAATAGAGAGTAGAGGGAGGGCCGGTGTTTGAGAATATAGAGCACGATTTAGAGGGAGGGAGCGGGTTTGAGAATAGAGAGTAGAGGGAGGGAGCGGGTTTGAGAATAGAGAGTAGAGGGAGGGGCGGGTTTTGAGAATAGAGAAGTTAGAGGGGAGGGTGGGCTGTACTGTGATTCTCCCACGCGCTGGGTGTTACTTGTAGCTGAAGGATAACAGGTAAGGAAGAGAACATGGGTGTGTGAGTGTATGCGCGTGTCTGCCTTGAGCCAGATTTCTCACGTACGCGCTCACGCCTCTCTGTTTGCTACACCCCGGTTAGGAAGCATGTATGCACGCGCACACGCAAGCCTTAGTTTGCGGTACGTTGCCAAGTGTTGTCTTAAGTTATCAACAACGGTACGTCAACTACTCGTCACCTTCGGAGCACCCTTCCCTTTCCCCGCCTGCGCGCTCTCTTCACGCTTCCCTCACTTTCGTTTGATACGTTGTCTATAATAGAATCCAACTCTCCACACTCACGAGGACGTTCATGTTGATCATGACGTCACAATGTGACGTCAGCGAGAACGTTTAATCGCCACTGTAAATTATAATCTATGTGACGAAACATCTTTAAGGTTCAAGGACATCTAGCGGCAATCGGTGACAGCTATAGAGACAGTGCCGCCATCTGTCAGGCCGATGTGAGACGGATGATGATAGATGGCGCTCCAACGAGGGCCCCAGTGCCCGAGTAATGTGTCACTGTCGCACGCTGCTGACAATTAAACTACACAAGATACCGGACGTTCTGTTTACGATAATAGAATGAGATTTGTAGCTGAGCTACGAGCTGGGACACTACCTCACGAGGGCTGCAACTTCCTATATGTAGATGTAACCTATATAGTTTTTAAATCATGGGCCAACTTTAAAAAAAAACACAAAATGCCGGACGTTTTGTTGACAATAATAGAAGCTAGAACTCGAATTGACAGAGGGTTGAAACATTGAAATGAAAACTTGTTCACGTGTAGCTATAACCTATATACGTGACTAACGGTTAGAATAGGACTACAGGCGGTGGGTGTGTCTACAGCTTGGGGCTCTGCGTAAGAGCTAAACTTGAGAGTAAAACTTAACAAATCTAACTATGAGCAAAACTTGGTAATCCCCACCTGGAGAGTAAATCTTAACATCCCAGCGGCCTGAGAGCAGAACTTAACAACCCCCACCTGGAGAGTGAATCTAGAAAAACGGTCTATTACCAACATTTAATGTTCACTCTATTGTCATGTATAAGCCGTACGTGATGACGTCATGCTGACGTCAGACGGCATGCGGCTATATGACTCTGCTAGTTCCAATGCATTGTATTACATTGCTTTATTTTATATCTTGGTTTACGGACCCGCCGCCGTAAAGAAATAATTGAAAAAAATGGAACCAAGTTGAGCAATTTTCTTTATTATCGGCGACGGATAAAAAACGCTAACCCGCTCAGAAAAATAAAAAAACGCTAAAATATACAAATACACAGCACGGCATGATGACCCATTATTCACTACTGATAACAATGTACTCATACGATATATATATATCAAGAGTACATAATAGAGATACTCTATAGACATACTGTTACATTTACTCTTGATA